GTAAATGGTAATAAAACCGTCACAACTAATATTGGAGTTTGATTCTAAACAACGTTTTGCAAAATTTCAATATTGTGAATTTGTAGATACCCATTTATCGTAAGAAACAGAATTTTATGACTTGCACTTGAAAAATAATGAATACTCCAGTTTTGATTTTGACAATAACACCATACAAATTGCAATTTGCTGGAGGCTTTTTCGCAGATTTCATTTTTAATTTAAATAGTATCACATACTATAAGAAATAAACAAATTTAAAGCTAAAAGTAACAAAAAACTCTAATTGTAATTGATACAAATTAAAATGTAAACAATGAACACGAACGCCAATGTTGCCAAATGATGAACTGATTTTGTCTCTGACTGATTTTAAAACTAAAATTAATAAATGAACTGATATTTAAAAAAAAAATCAATATAATAAATCGATTTTATAAAAAAAAAATAAATAGTATGATTACATATTACTAGACACAAATTTTGATTCTTAAATAAAAGGTCTTATCCATTTCTTCAAAAACTAAAATCCGACGACATAACGAAATTTTGCTGCTTCTGGCAACACTGAACGTCATCCTACTTATAGGGACCTTTTACTAATTTCCTCCAGAGGGCGTATCACTTAGCTTGAATCGCGAATATGTAACAATTCCAACTGTCAAAACTAGCCAGAACAAGAATGGTGCGGACAGGCGCATTTCCAGGCCCTTCAACTACAAGATTACCAAAAACTGTTGATGATGTTATATTTAGAAAAATGATGTCATAAAAAATATGCATATACCAAAAATTCCCGGCTACCGTCGATATTAGGGACAGTAACTTTGTCACTTTTTCCATAAAGATTAAGTAAAACCATAATATTTTTACACTTTTTAATCTTCTATAAGTGTGCACTAACCTAATTAAAGCAACAAATATTATTAAAACACATTTGTAAGCTAAAAATTTAAGAATATGCATTTATTCACGACATTCTCACATAGCCATATTGTTCTTAATTTTTTCAATAGACCTTTTCATCATGTGATGAGCGCAAGCACAGCCACCATGTTAAAATAGCGGTAATTCAAAAGTTTCCTACTATTTTGATCGACAATGGCTGGGAAAGCAATATTATCTCTACAGAAAAATTATTCAATAGAAAAAATGGTTGATGGTGATTAACTTTTTCATAACTGCGTAGAAGCGCATAGTTGTGAGCAGTTGAAAAGGTGGATGTAGTGTCTTGGACGTTTGCTACAAACGAAAAAACTCGACTGATTGAGAGGTTAGGTGTATCAATACTTTTTAACTGTGTACAAAATTAATGAACCCAAATAATAATTATAACTCTATTCTAATTAATTATGCCAACCAACTATTAGTACTTGCAAAAACACTTTAATTAACATGAAAGTTAATCACGAGTATAAATAATAAAATAAATTATAATATTTTGAGGATCAACATGACATTTTTAATGATATTACTGTGTATACCGAAGTAGTATTTAATATTAAAAAAATATTGTTCAATACCAGATAAGAGTTTTCTTCTGTTGGATCACTTTCTCCATGAAAATGTAATGAACAAATATAAGTATCTTTAGTAACATCATCGAAAACCGTTGTCACTTCGACCATATTATTTCACACCTAATGAACATTTCGAACATGTTTTAATATGGATTTTGTCTGATAATTTGATATTTTTTTTCGATATTGCTTTGGAAAATTTATAAAATAATATGTATTGCCTTTGAATGATTTATACCGAGTGTCAATTTTACATACTCCATAACAACACCGTTTAATTGTTTCTTTCCGTACAGATAACATAATTATAATTGATTACAAAAATGTATTTTTCAATTAAGGCACTAAAATTATTATTACTTTGCTTTTTCATCCTTTTTTTAAATGAATATACTTAAATTATTATTTATTAATTACAACTTTTTTCACGTGGGCATTTTAACATGCTTGTTTACAAAAACAGTACGAAAAAGATGGCTGATACTGACGCATGCGCCCAAAAAAATATTGTGATGAAAAGGTCTATTTGACAGTCACACCACTTTAAAGATGGGCCACACAACAGCAGGGTTGCCAACTTTTCAAATTCCATTTACCGTACCGCGCAATTCAAATTACCGTACACTTGTATTTTGTAAAAAAAAACTATATTGTGTAACTCTTCGTGTCGTGTTTCTAAAAAAAAAAAGTCCTCATCATATTATTTTAATCATCGTCCTGGTCCTTTTTACCTAGCTTCTAAAAAAAGGCCTTATATTAGCTTATATTTTGTATTTTTGTACAGACTAGGTCCTTTTGAAGTTTTTAAGAACATCTGCTGCATTTTAAATACCGTACGTATACCGTACTTTTTATGTAAATACCGTACTTTTATGTACGATAATGACTTTGGACCATATATCGTACATTAATTGAAATTACCGTACAAGTACGGTAATTACCGTACGATTGGCAACCCTGCTCAACAGTGAAAAATTTTACTCATCTTTCAGCGCCATCCGTAGCGGTTGCAAATAGTCGAGTTAAAAAAAAAGAAGATAACTAATAATTGAAAATTTGTTCAAGATTTATTATATAGATGGCGGTAGGGGTCAATGAGCGCGGGTTTTTCAAACTCGGCCTTTCTAATAAACCACTACTAAGTTTTCAAAATTATAATTTTTCATTCTTTTTTACTTAAAATGATTCAAACATTTTATTCTTCACTAAACATATTTAGATGGATATAATCCATTGGGTTATGTTCTGTGATAGATAAAATTTGAAATATTTTAAGTTAAAAAGAAAACGAAAAATTATAATTTTGGATTTGTGGAACAAAAAATACATCTTATTATGAAGTAAAACACGATTATAACCATATATTTTTTATTATTAGAATTAAAATTGCACGAATTCTTATTACAGTACACAATAATAAAGAAATATGAATATAAAACTATTACGAAGTTCACCCATGGTTGTATCCACTAGAAGTTGTAACGAAAGTTCCTGGGGAAAGTTGGCTCTGGCTGCTGTTGGGTGTACTTGTCACTTCCTATTGCAGTGTTTGCTGATTCGTTTTCATGTAAAAAATGAAGAAGAGTAACAGTTAAAAAATATAAAGTTCAATTTTATTATTTTTGTTTTGAGTCAATTCAGCTGAGATATTAATTTATTAGCTAGTGAGAATGAATCGGCATTTCTTAAAAATATATCATAGAAGATTTTTCAATAAAATGAAGGAATTTGAATTTAGTAAGAATGCAACTTTTATTAATTGGAATCAATAAATTGTGAAGATACCTAGGTGAGGTAGGTCACAGTATATGGAACAAAAAATAATAAGAGTCGCACAATATAAAATATACAATTATTGGTATGTTTGAAAAGTACCTCATTTTGAATTCCGAAAAAAAATTGTATATAGGTATCTAATATAAAGTATCCATTACATATTGTATAATTCTAAAAAAATACTAATAACACTATTTATTTCAATCTTCTTAATATTCATATATTTTATCTAGTTACTGAAATTGTATAGAAAATGATAAAAGTTAGGTTAAGATTTTTAATTTTTCCTAGAACACATTAGGTTACCCGCATTATTTTGGAAATTTATTTCACAAATTGGGTACTTTTAAGTAATAATATATGCTCTTAAAATTTGGCAAAGTATTTAAGAATAAAATACAAAAAGAAGTTTTTACTTGTAAAGAAATAAAATTGTGAATGTATTCCTTACCTGCAACTAACTTTATCCTGACAATCTGGATCAGCACAAGGACGAATTCGCACCATAATTATATATGTTTAAAGCTTTAAAAATTCTCTTCGAAAAACTAACCTAATAAAACAAATTAACCATTACCATTATTGCCATTAATTAGGCATTCCAAACAAATGAATTACCAGTGGGCAGGTTTGGTATATCTAAGGGTGGCGACATATAGTGTATTCTATCTACTTTACGTAAAATCATGAATAATGGATTACATTTAAATATTTTATGTCAAACACAATAAAAATAATATTTAAAAAACCCACCTATACATTTCTTCATAAATTGGCAGGCTTGGCGACTACTACTTCGAATAAAAATAGCGTCCAAGTTGCAAGACTATGTCGCTACCCCCTTAAATATACAAGAATTTCCTACTGGCACCTATTGTTTGACAGGTCGTTGGAATGCCTAATAGCGTTTTTTTTTCTTTGAAAGTTTTAAATAACAACTTGCGTACACTTGCGTTACTCTGAACCTGCTCTGAATACACTCTGAATCTGCTCGACGAATGCAACGAGCAAACTTTGTGTAAAGTAGCGCCATCTATGGGTGGTGCACAGTACTACAACACGAGTAAGCATTTCCCTATTAAAGATCCCCTAGCCTGAGTCACACTAAGAGCGCATGTGCGTAATTTTAGTGATGTTGCCAATTGCTTTTTGTTCTAAATAAATATATTCAAGGTAATACCATTCTATATAATATGACAACTGATATTTTTATTTCTATAAATGTGGTGTTGTCAAACATAGTAAAATAACGTACATAACAGGAATGACAGTGGCTGTTTTTTCAATAGCTACAGGCCAGATGATAAGTCATTGCTTCATTTTCTTGTTGCATATTTATGGACTGGTATGCGCAATCACAATTTTCCATTTTAACTACTAATTTTATCACAATCCGGCAACGTTGCAATTATATTTTCCAAATTTGACAGAAGCCATGGAGATGTTTACAGTCCTCAAAATGCTGATTTCTATAGAAATTAAATATTTTTTTTTGGCTTAAATTTTTTTTTTAAATGTACTATTTAAAATATGCTCTTTCTGATAAAAAAATAAATTTCTTTAAAATTCCACTGTCCCTAAAGTCGTCCGTACCCAAAATTCCCATCTAAAAACCAAAATCGACCTAACAGAGCATTAATTTCTTACATGATCAAAAAAATAATTTATAATTTTTTTTATTTATTTAAATTAAGATTTACCAACCTTCTTGAATACTTTTACAATCCTCCCCACTATTATTGTCATCACTTGAAATGACATCAGGCATATGGTTATTGGCTCCATCTTGGTGAATAATATTAGATATTTGCTGAACATGAGAGAATTTCGTTTTCAACTTGTGTTTCAATGCATTTTTATAAGATCGTAAAAGGTTCTTCCATTTCTGTCTGCATCTATCTGGCGATTTGTGTATATTCTTTTGTGCCAACTCCTCAGATATCATTAACCATTTCTTATTATTGTTGTGGATTCCAGAATTGTTCATCACATGGTATTTTTTGTAGATTTTAAGAAAACAATTTACATCTTTATCTTTCCAAAATTGTATTCTCGGATTTATTCCAGTTGTTGGTACTGGAGTTACTTTTATGGATGTCACCCCATCCAATTTTTTCTTGCATATTTGATTAAATAAAGATTGCGAATAAGCCGGATCTAAAAAGAATTTTATTTGATAAAATATAAGTATAATAGATGGGTTATTAACACAGAGTACATATTCTCAAATTGTTTGCAATGTGCTATTATAGTAGTCATATTTTTTAAAGAGTCCATAGTAAAAAATCATTTCATAAAGTACAAAATTTTGCTGTTCTTTTTTTTGTGTATTTACATTTTCTATAACTGATTTTCTTATTATAACTTAGGCCTTAAATATAAAGGCTAAAATAACTTAGATGTTGAAGCCGTACACCAAAGAAAAAAAATCTACAAAAACAATAGTGTAAGTACACTCAGAAAAGGTCAAAAGAAAAAGAACTTTCAGAATCTTATATGTTTATAAGTGTAGGCAGGCCTAGTCCTTAAGGTTCTCGATTCCGTATGTTTTCAAGTTCAATTTAGTTTTCCCCGCACACGTTCCTTGGATTTAATTGTAGGGAAATTTCAGTTGAAAATATTATATGAAATGCTTACCATTTCGACACCTCTCCGCAATATGTGGAGCTACTTGCACCTTCAAGACATTTTCGTTTGTGCCTGTGCCCATGTTAAACTCGATCAGTTCCAGTTGCTCCATTTTATTCTCAACTCAACCTCACAAGTCACAAAATGTTCTGGTCTTATCGACTTATGGTATGGTACGGTATAGTGTGTCAAGTTTTGTACAATTAGTTGGTAATAAACAATTTTCTGCAATTACATCAACGCATACAAATGTTTTGAATATTATCCTAAACTTAAATCACATTAAGATTTCAGGATTTCGTATTAGATTTGGAATGGAAAATTAAACAAAAACAAAACCATTTGTCGTCGATTCGTGAACCACGTACAAGACTGAAATGTGCCAACTGTCAATTGTCACATTGACAAAAAGTCAGTACCAGTGTTGCCAGGTCATTTTTTTTCAGTATATCCTTCATGATACTGCCCATAGATTACTAATGTGAATACTGCCTATCTAAAATTCAGTAGAAATCAGTGCCAAATGAGTTGCCTAATTAAAGGGGCAAACAATTTTTAACGTTGCAGTGGTTTCTCTTCCGATTAGCGTAAATCTTAATTATACGTATTTTACACACACTGTTTGGATTCATTATAATGTTAGACTATAAAAATTAACAACCAAATATTAACAATAGAAAATCAAACACCAAGTACTATTCAAAAAATAGTTTAATAAGAAATGGGAAAATAGAAAATAAATATTACATATAGCGAAAGTAAAAGTTGGAAAGGCCTTTGGTAGGTAGAGAGGGGGGTAAACGTCAAACCACGTCGGACGGCTTCGAGAATTTCGCTGTAATTTTTACCTGCCAGTGTCGTTTCATAGAATAAGTAATTTTAAATTGTTACAGGCGGAACCGGACAATCGCATGTATTTATGGACTATAAATAATTATTAAACATGTATTCATAATATTCAAATCATAATTTTACAAAATTTCAACAGCTATTCACAATTTATTAAACTTTTTTTTACTCGAAATTGTTATTAACATCTATAAAATAATTTCGTTCGCCAATGTATCGCATCCACTTCGGTGAGATCCGCAGCAAACATGTCAATTTATGTGTATAAAGTGAGAGAACTGGCAAAAGCCTTTCCAATTTTTACTTCTGTCACAGGATAAGTGCTTCTGTCCTACTAAAAAATAAAATAACTCAAACAATAAACACTTAACCTCTTAAACTCTAAAAAAATATATATTTCAATCGGAATCGGAGTCAGAATCAGTTAACTCATTATCACTCGCTGTGGAAAGCTTATTTCTTTTATTGATTGTACAGTAAAAAAAACAAGCAAAAAACAACAACATTTTTAATTTTTATATATACCATATCACAGCGTACACTGCAAGGTATGTAACTCGAAACACAACACAAGCAATGAACGCAGGGGATTCCCTAGAAATTCCCAGGAAAGTTATAAGAAACACCGCTGCCCGCTACGTTGCGTTCGAAAAAGCTGAAGAGTGCACAAGTCGCGTGTGTAATGCTGTGATTTTTATGACTTTTGATTTTTTTTTTCAAATTATAATCCCATTATAATTAAAAAAAAGCGGATAATAAAAAATAATATTAAAAACGGGTTCTTTTTCAGTTTTCATTGATTTCAGTATATCAAAAGCCAAATCAGTAGACCTGGCAAAACTGGTCAGTATCATCTACCAAAAGAAAGGTAAGTTCGGACAGACAAGTTCCATTCACTCCTTTAACTCCAAGCAACCCTTTCAGCGTTCGGTTCAGTCTGTGATTAGTGACAGTTCAACCACGCTATGTCATTTAAAACCACCCTAAAAAAAACTCTGCTCCTGTCCCGTTCCAGCCCGAAGTAGAGATAAACCACCGATCTTCATATTAAAATAGATGGCTCTATGTCATAAGCCCAATGAATTCTTCATTGATCACCAGGGCCCACAGGATTGCCATATCATAACCAATGAACTGGAGTGGGGTAGAAGCTAATGTGCATATTTTATCAATTGAACAAGATGCGGACTCTATGGGCGCAGCCATTTTTATTTCTCATCTCACTCGGGAGTATTTATAATAACCATTTTTCTGTTTCACATTGTTATTGTTCAATCCACAGGCTGGTGGATCAGACAATAACAAAGTGAAATAGAAAATGGTCGTTATAAATACTCCCGAGTAAGATGAAAAATAACCTGTCTTCGCCCATAGAGTCGCATCTCAAGCCTATTGACAAGCATTCTACCCCACTCCAGTTCATTGATCATAACCCACGAGCAACCATTTGGTTTGGAATGCTTCCCTGTTGGCATATAAAAGTAGTTTCACGTTTATAAAAATACATGATTTGAAATATCTTGAACAGCAAGAAATTCGAACGCACTTAAATACTATGGCGCCACCTATACGCATCTAGCACAAGAGTGCTCAGAAGATAGTGTGCTGTATTTCGAAACAGTTTACCGAAAAAAAAATTATATTATTTCTTTCTAGATGGCGCTTATCAATATTTTAGTTTCCTATAGGTTAATTTTATTAATTTTGCTAGTCGCCAAAAGAATACGGGAGATGTTTACAAATTAATATTTAGGACTGGATAGAGATATTTTAGGTAGTTAGGTATATCATCTTTTCTATTTAAAGTCTCTAGAGCATGGATACAATTATTTAAATAAAATCAATTAAAACTAATAACTTTTAATTCAGTTACGATACTTACACCTTCCGACGTACCTACATTTACTAAATTAATAGCAGCTCCAAATATTTTATATTTATGGTAGGTATACCCTACCTACTACCTATACTTATCTATTTTTTATAACACACGTTTGTAGGTATTATCTAATATCCACAGGAAGAGAATGTTACTTTTACAATGATAACGCACCATGTTTACCACGATGGTGATAGGTAATTTTTATCAATTCCGACCATGAATAATCAAAACTTATGAAAACTTTAAATTATTGATAGGTATATAAAACGTATAGTTTTCATTTGTGGAATAAGTAGAAATGCATAGTTATAATTAAAATTACACATATTCGACAAAAACTGAAATTGCAAAGATCAAATCCAGAGCTGCAGAAATGGATGATTATCCATTTCCATAGGTGGTCATTTTTATATTTTATGGAATATATGTTATTTACGTTTGGACAAGAAAATTCTTCAAATAAAAGTTACTTCTAATATTATTATCTATACTTTTTGTTCTATACAAAATTTTCCTAAAATGGTCCGTATTCGAGAAATTTGACAAAATGTAAAAAAAAAAATAATTTTTTATAAAAATTGTTTGTAATATAATTCTTTATAATTTTTATTCTATACATAATTTCTATAAAATGGACCGTATTCGAGATATTTGAGAAAATGTGTAAATTTCGAATTTTGAAGAAAACTCAAAAACGGATAAAGAAAAAAACATTAAATTTTAAACTTAAGTTTAATTTCGGCCTGACGTGAAATGATTAGATTTTGGACAAAGTCGGAACATCTGGGGGGGTACTTTATGGGTGGTCATTTTTATATTTTATGGAATATATGTTATTTACGTTTGGACAAGAAAATTCTTCAAATAAAAGTTACTTCTAATATTATTATCTATAATTTTTGTTCTATACAAAATTTTCCTAAAATGATCCGTATTCTAGAAATTTGACAAAATGTAAAAAAAATAAATTTTATAAAAATTGTTCAAATAAAAGTTGTTTGTAATATAATTCTCTATAATTTTTATCCTGCACATAATTTCTCTAAAATGGACCGTATTCGAGATATTTGAAATAATGTGTAAATTTCGAATTTTGAAGAAAACTCAAAAACGGATAAAGAAAAAAACATTAAATTTTAAACGTAAGTTTTATTTCGGCCTGACGTGAAATGATTAAATTTTGGACACAGTCGGAACATCTGGGGGGGGGGGGGGGGTACTTTATGGGAGGCCGTTTTTATATTTTATGGAATGTCTCTTATTTATGTTTGGAGAAGAAAATTGTTCAAATAAAAGTTACTTTTAATATTATTATCTATAATTTTTGCTTTGTCAAAATTTCCTGAAATGGTCCGTATTCGAGAAAATTGACAAAATGTGCAAAATTCTGATTTTCATGAAAATTGTTGAACTAAAAGTTGTTTGCAATATTGATCTCTATAATTTTTGTTTATATATGATTTTTCTAAAATGGAAATATTGGAGGAAGAGTGCTAAATTTAAATTTTTCAGTATTTTCGTTTAAAATGAATATAATTTTTTTTTTTTGAGGTAGATGTGGAAAATGTATACATTTATAGAGGTGCTGCAATAGGTTGTACAAAATAACCGGAAAAAGCCTATAATAACTAGATAGGAGTCATGTGTTGGACACATCAGATTTTTCTTATTGTATATTCATCAGCCAGCATGAGCATGGATTTTTTTGTATGGCTGTTGGATGATGAGCATGGAATGTGTTACTACAAATATCGCTTTGGGAAATTTTGTCATCCAAGGGAATTTTTATTTCAAAAGGTTGGAAACACTGGGCTGCCATATCATAAACGGTCATTACCAACAGGTCTAATTAGTAAATTTTCTGTCCATACATAAGTCAGCTTGATTTTTGTCTGTACTACGAATTTAATTGTAGCTGCAAAAATATGGCAAGTAAAACTACGAAATAAGCCATAGTTGACGTCCTATCCAAGAATGCAAACTAAGAGAACTCGTAGTTGGCAGTCAACGAGTTAATAAACTTAATTTGAATTTTTTGCTGTTATAAAAGATTGCACCAAAAAAAGTTTGTCGACTTATGTCACAGGTTCAATTGTTTGATAAGTTGGTAGGGAAAATAAATAAAAAAAAACAAGATTTTATAAATTACTATATTATTACGAAACATACACACAAACATACATTTAAGTTTCATTGTCAGTTTTGTAATAATAAACTTTTGTAGTAATGAGAACAATGTGCTTTTTAAGAGCAACTGATCACTAGTAAAGATTAGTTGACGAAAGATATGGTTTGCAGTCATTAATGTGTACTTTCTACAATTTAAGCGCTTCATTTTTTTTATCCTACAAAGCGTAATTCGTGTAACTAAAAATAAAACCGTCTCGAATTTGTACTCAGTATAAAAATATATTTGTTTCCCTAATTCTAGATTAAAGAACGAATT